GCCGCGCGCCGCGCGCCGCCGCCGCCGCCCTCGCCGTCGCTCGCGTCGCCGCCCTCGTAATACGACGCCACGCCCGCCGCCGCCGCGCGGCGGCCGCCGCCGCCGTACAGCGCGGCCGCGGCGGCGGCGTTGGCGGCGTCCTGGCGCTTGCGCGCGGCGGCGGCGGCGGCCTCCTCCTTTTTGCGCAGGTCTGCCAGGCGGCGCACCTCGTCGGGGTCCTCCTCCACCTCCCAGGGGCACACCTGGCGGCGGGAAGGCGGGCGGGCAGCGCGGATGGGGCGGGGCGGGGCAGGTTGCAAGATGGCTGGTGTCGTGGAGAGAGGGCACGTGGGGTCAAGGTGGTGTGGCAGGGGTTCAGCTGGTGAAGGGTCGAGGCCGCCTGCTGCTGCTCGGCCCCATGCCGGCGGGAGGCTGGTTGGGAGCTGCGCGCCTCGCAGAGTTGGCGGGAACCCTCAACCCCTCAACAGCTGACGGGGACGGGCGCGCGCCAAGCGCTGCCGCCCCTCGGCAGCCCTCCCTGGGCCGAACGCCCGCACATGGCACACCTTCACTCGTCCATGCCACCACTACAAATACAGAGACACACATCCACACACACACACACACACATCCACACACACACACATATGCGCACGCCCGCGTGCGCGCGCGCACACACACACACACACACATGAACACACACACACACACACACACACACGCACGCACGCGCGCGAGCACATCCACACACATGCCAGCCCACCCATCCTCCACAATATTCGGACGCCCCCAGGCCCTGCAAAGCCCCCACCTTGTTGACCGAGTTCTCCTCATTGTCCCAGTGCACCGTGATGCTCTCCCAGGGGTCAAAGTCCCCCGGGCCGGTGTGGTTGTCGGCGGTGGCCACCGCCACGATGTTGCCTTTGTAGTAGGCGCCACCCACCTGAGGGGGCGGATGAGGAGGGACGAACATGTGTGTGTGCGCATGTGTGTGTGTGCGTGTGTGCCGTGTGTGTGTGTATGTGTGTGTGTGTGCGTGTGTGTGTGCGTGTGTGCGCGTGTGTGCACATATGCTGGTCTGCAGCGCAAAAGCAAAGGTGGGCAGGCTTCGCGCAGCACTGCAGAAAGCCCCGCAAACCAGCCGCCCGCCCGGCCGGCCGCCAAAGCCGCAACCCTCCCCATCTCGACTGCCGGACGTTGGGTGCCCTCGCAAATCGCGCCTTGGTGCCGTGCTTGCCGCCAAAGTACATTCTGAAGCGCTCCCCGGGGGTCCACGTCTTCTTGGTCCGCTCCGCAAACATCTGGGCCGGCATTAAAAAGTCCGGCAGGGACGGATCTATGTGGATCGGCAGCGCGATCTCGCCCCCAACGTCGCCGCCGCCGGCGCCGGGCCGCGGCGTGCCGTCGGCGCGCGCCGGCGTGAGCAGCATCCACATGCATGGCGGCCGCGCCGTCGGCGGCGGCGGGGTGCCGGCCCTCTGCCCGCCGGGCGCCTGCTGCTGCTGCTGCCCCTCCTCCTGCCCCTCCGCCCCCTGCTGCCCGTTTTCCCGCCGCTCGTCCGCCTCCTCCTCATCCTCCTCCTCTTCCCGCCGCCGCTGCTGCTCCTGCTGCTGCTGCTGTTCGAGCTTCACCCTCTCATCCTCCTCCTCCTCGTCGCTGCCGGCCTCGGACGGATACGCGCGGTACGTCGCCGCCGCCACCACAAACTCCTTTATCGGCGGCAGCCCCTCCACGCGCTGCAGCAGCGCCCCGACCTCGCCGCGCGCCGCCTCGTCCCGCAGGCCGGCGTAGCGCTGCAGGTGCAGCTTCACGCCGGCGCGCAGCAGCACGATGGAGCTGCCGGCCGGCGGGAAGATGAGGGGGCACCTGGGCGCGGCGGTTGCGGCGGTTGCGACGGCGGCGGCTGGGGATCAGGAACGGCGCCGGAATGTGGACGCAGGCGCAATCGCGGTCGCTGCGGCGGTCAAGGAGCTACCCAGACGCACGTGGGCGGGTCTGTCCATCGCGCGCGCCGCCGCTGCTGAACCCTGCGGGGGGCGGTGCTGCTGAACGCGGCCACATGCTGGCGCCCCTCTCACCTGTATGTCTCCACCACCCGCATGAACGCGTCCCTGGGCCACGTGTGATCCGGTAGCACCACCGCCCTCGACAGCGCCCCCAAGTGCCTGCCCACCGCCCGCGCCCCGCCCGCGCGCGCCGGCCCGCCCTGCGCGAGGCCGGCGCGCCAGGCGGCGCGCCAGCGGGGGGCCCAGTCCGGGGGCATCAGCTCGGACTGGCAGAGCGCGGACTCCGTGGCCAGCAGGCAGTCCGACAGCTCGTCGGGGGCGGTCGCCGCCTGCAGCAGGGGTTGGGGCGTATTGGGTGGGTGGACGGTTGAAGCGTAAGAGGGTGCCAGCCCGCAAGGGGTCATACAATCTAAAATTGGGACGCAAGAAAGAGGAGCGCGAAGTGCTCCTCCTCAAAGCTGCTCTGCCTTCACATCTTGCACAACGGAACGCACACCCTCACCCGAGGGCCCCAGCGCCCTGCGATCAGCACCAGGGACTGCTGCTGCCCCCAGTGACGCCCCCCAAGGATAGACCACCACCCTCATGCCACCTGTGGACCATCAAACCACCGCCACCCCGCTCCGCGCCCCCACCTTGACCCGCTCCAGCAGCGCCCCCAGCTCCGCCTGCCCCGCCGGCCCCCGCCGCCAGAAGGGCAGCAGCCCGAGCAGGCTCGTCATGCCCATCGCCAGCCGCCCCGCGCCAGTCGGGACCACCACGCCGTTGGGAAAGTTGAGCTCGCCATAAACCAGGGGCCCGGTCAGCGTCCGGTACCCTTCCACCCGCGCCGCCCGCATCTCCGCCGCCCCCATCATCGCGCCATCGGGCGGCAGCGTCGGCAGCAGCTGCGCCAGCTGCGCGGCCGCACGGCCGGCCCCGCCGCCTGCGCCGCCGCCGGTGGCCCGGGCGCCGGGGCGCAGCGGCCAGGGCATGGAGCCCAATGCGCGCAGCAGCGGCGCCTCGCATTCCACGTTGCCTGCGGCGATCCACTTTGCGAGCGCCGCCAGGGCCGGCCCCTCGTACCATCCCCAGTCGCCGCCGCCGGGGCCGCCCTCGACGTACACCCGCCACGCGCCCGCGGCGCCGCCGAGCGCCCAGTAGCGGCGCCCGGAGATGTCCACCCCCAGCGGCCGCCGCACGCCGAGCCGCTGCGCGTCACACCACTCCACCCACGCCAGCGCCTGCGCGGGCGCCGGCCCGCGCGCCGCGGCCTCATCCGCATCCCCGCCGCCGCCCGCCGGCGGCAGCAGCCGCGGCCGGCCGGCCTTGAGCGCCGTCGTCGGCGCGTCTATTCGCGCGCCGACGTGCTCCCTCAGCGCCTCCGACGCGAGCGCCAGCTCAGCCAGCGCCCGCAGCAGCGCTGCGCGCTGGTCAAACGACAGGTGGCAGTAGTCAGACTGATACAGCTCCAGCGCCGCCGCGGTCGCGGCGGCGCCGTCGACCACCTCGGCTGCAAAGCTGTGCACCGTCGCGGCGGCGCGCTGGGACCAGTGCTGGGTCGAGACCACTATGCCGTGGCCCGTCTTCACGACGTACCGCGCTGACAGCGGCTGCGGGGGGCACTTGGGGCCTGGCTTGTGGAGCGTGCCGTCCAGGCAGCGCAGCAGCGCCAGATGAACATCCCGCAGCAGCAGCCCCGCGGCGGCCGCCGCCTCGACATCCAACGGGCCCTCCCCGCCGCCATCCGCAGAGCCGCCGCCGCCAGGGCCGCCGTTGGGCCCGTCGCCGCCGCCGCCGGCGCCGGCGCCGGGCGCGGCGGAGCAGAGGGCCGCCTCCAGCGTTTCGAATGCGAAGGGCGGCATCTCCATGGCAGCCGCGAAATTGGATAGCATCCCCCAGAGCTCCAGC